TAAATGATTTTTATCGAAGAACAATTAAGATCTAAACAGTTACATTTAATTTTAAATTGTAAAAAAAAAAACCTTCTTAAAGATGCTTGTATTGAATGGAATGGAAATGACGTCTAATCTTAATCTTAACACAGATACCTCTTTTGAACCTGAAGGTATTGATGGGATTATTGAGCTTTTCGAGTTATTTTTATATTCAAGTTAGAATTAAGAGAAAATTATTTTAAATATATATATATTCTGTTGCTCTGGTATAATTTTGTAAATACAGTGATCTACTGACTGCACACAATAAAATATATTTCCACAAAATATGAAAAATATATTTCTATTAATAAAAAAATATACATATTATATGGAGTAACATGAAATGGAGAATACAAAAAAAGCTAAAGCACGCATGGATTTTGAGGATTAATGCTTTACTTCCTTTTTAACTAACATTATACAGCATCTTTGTTTGTTAATTTCAGTACATGCTTTGGTAGTATATATATAAATAGGAAAAGACCACTACTAGCCCCCTTCCATGCCTAAACAAATTTCCCAGAACAGCTTTCCAAACTAGCACAGATGGGGAGATATGAATTCCTCCTTTGTTTTGGTGGGTGACCAAATGAATGTTGTGTACCCTTATTCCCCACCTATATCATGATCAACAAGATTGAAAGCAATCTACTTAACCAAAGAGCTCCCTCACTTCTTTCATTGCATTGCAAAGAGATTTTCAGAGCGCAGTTTGAAAGGCCAAAAGATTGTCTCCCTGGAATTCAGAGGTCCCCGAACAAAAGAGGTGGACAAAAAAAAATAACATCTTTGTCTTCTAGGAGGTTTAAGTTCCTTATGAATTACTGCTGGTAAAGTAACTATTGTATTCAGTGTTATATTCTTCAGGATACTTCCCTGGAGAATCCTGATATACAAAGCAAGTTGGAGACAAAAGCTGGTATTATTTTGCAGGGAAAAGAGTAAGGAAAGCTGAAATTGGAGAGAGAAAAAGAGAGAAGAGGGTATAATCTAGTTGCCTATAACATCCTTCTTTTCCTTAGTTATGATTACTGGGATTCCTTCTTTTGCTGTCCCCTTCAGAGTATTGAAAACTCTGCTTTGGAACAATTTGACTCAGTGATCATTTTTGTATCACGCCTGTGTCATATATAAAATTTAATATTTTTGATGATACCTCCATTAAGCAAAGGTTTCATATAGATTTGTTTTGACTGGTCATTCTGTACAGATCCCTAGTGTTTTATATCGGTGCTAATTGTATCTTTTTAGTTTTCTTTTTTATAATGTACCTTTCTTGTTTTGGAGAAATAACTTGGAGCAATGTCAGTGAGGATTGCCTCTTGGTCTTATAAACCTGCAATATGTTTGGTGCTCTAGAGAATTTAATAACTAAACGGGGATTTCAACCCGAAAATAACACTCAGCATTCTTAGCACTTCATCACATTATTGCTAATATCAGGCTCTCCTTTTTCATATGTAATACTAGCCAAAGTAAAATTTATGTATTGTAGCTATGTTCACTAAATTAAATGTTGATCCTATCTAGTGAATCAGGTCTCAGAAAGTAGTTTCTAATCTATTTTGTGTACTTCTTGAGCATTCATTTCTGCGCATAGCCACAAGAGGGACTAATATTCTTCCAAACAATCTCAATACTCAAAACACATCTAAAGCATCTTGCCTCTTTGCATGACTTGCTTATTCTCAAGTACATTGGTATTTTTTAGTCTATTACAGGTTTTTGCAGACATCAAGAGAAACTAATGTTAAAGGCTCCCCAGAAATTTTATTTTGGTTGAAATGGATAGCATGTAATTGAATTATAATATTGTAATTGTAATATTTTGATATTTTTTCATTGCAAACAAGACTTAATGTTTGGATAAAACTATTATTTCAGGAATTGGTAAAACAGAAGGTAAAACGTCAGTTAAATAAACAACAAAAAGCTGCTATCAGACGACGACTGCAGAAAGGAGAAGCTAACATTTACACCAAACAACGTCGGGAAAACATGTACAATATCAAATCAAGTTTGGATTCAGCCAGCTTCTGGGAATGACATCCTATGGGGACATTTATCTTTTTTTCTCCCATCTCACAAGTCAAATGAAATTTGATTTTAAAGAACTACTTGCAGAGAGGGAATGTCCAGGATTCATGAATGTCAACATAAAAATAATCACATCTTCATAGTCTGGCACAGATTTATGTAAAGTGCATGATGACTGTCTTATACAAATGGCAATTGTCTTTTGTGGTAAAACATCACAATGCACATGTGTCAATTGCTGTGGAAATTTGGTCCATTGCTTAGAAAGTCCATTGCATAAGATTTCATTGAAGTGATATATTCCATTCTTATATCCTGAGTGAGATTTTTAAAAATTCCTAAAGTAACAGGCTACATGAGTGTAGGGGAATAGGACTGATCTTAAACCCATAGGCTAAATCATGGTAGACTTTTCAAGTCAATCCATAACTTGGTTAAAACAAATTGCTATCTAATTTCACTGTGTTTAAATTGCCTTGAAATCTATGCAATAACTGATATAAAACTTTCAATGATGCTTGAATCTTGGAATTGTACAAATTTAACACTTGCACAAATATAAAAAAATTAAACCTAAAGTTCTTTTTTCCACATCCCAAAGGTTACCAATATAAACCCTTCCAAACTGTGTCAGATAATGAAAATGATATTGCACAGATTTAAGAGAACATTTAAAAAAGGTAATGAGGTACTGCTAATATTTTTTTATATATTCAACATTTTACTATTTCCAAGGGTCCTGAGCCCTATAGGTAGGCTTATTTAGCCAAAATGTTGTATCTTTAGAATATAAAAAAAAAAAATTGACATGCTTGATCCGATCTACTGTTATTTAGGAAAAACTAAAAATTGGGAAGCATCCCAAAGGCTATTTGATTTTTTTTTAAAATCTATTTGAAAAAACTTTACAGAAGAACAGAGTAATAAAAAATTAATAAAGGGATAAAAAAACTCAATGGAATAAGAACTTTGATCAGAACTTATTTAACAAGTTACATGCGTAACAGAAAATATTGTTCTATTAAAAGTAATTGTTATTTTTGTATTATGAACACTTATTGCCCTTTAAGAACTTTGTACTAAGTGTTTTTGTTGTTTCAAAAAATGCATTAAAATTATCTGATATTTTGAAAAATAATCAACTTTCAAGTGGTATTACTTCCTGCAATTAGCCAAAAGCCTAACATAGCCATAAATAACCAATGTTCCCTAACTCCAGTTTTATTTAGATTAAAGCTGTCTCTTTATAGATAGAAATATAGTGTGTCTTTAAGAAGATTTTTGAAATACCTGAAATCTTTAAAAATCATCGTGACATTTATATAAAAGATGAACTCTCAACAGTGCATCATTCCTGTTTCATATATATATGAATATACACATACATACATTCAAATTTATTTTCTAGGAACTTCAGCAAACAGGCTAGATGAATAATGTTCCTGATAATCTGAACACAATTGTATGCAATAGATGCAAAGCATTCCACAAAATGAAATTCTTCACTATTTTTCTTACTGCTGTATTCAGGATGCCTAACTAATTAAGATTGGAATTAAGATTGCCGGGAGAAATATCAACAACCTCAGATATGCAGATGATACCACGCTAATGGAAGAAAGTGAAGAGGAACTAAAGAGCCTCTTGATGCGGGTGAAGAAGGAGAGTGCAAAAGTTGGCTTGAAACTCAACATTAAGAAAACCAAAATCATGGCATCCGGTCCTCTCAATTCCTGGCAAATAGATGGGGAAGAAATGGATGTAGTGACAGATTTTATTTTTCTGGGCTCCAAGATCACCTCAGATGGGGACTGCAGCCAAGAAATTAAAAGACGCTTGCTCCTGGGGAGGAAAGCTATGGCAAATCTAGACAGCATACTAAAAAGCAGAGACATCACCCTGCCAACAAAAGTGCGTATAGTCCAGGCCATGGTTTTCCCAGTTGCAATGTATGGCTGTGAAAGTTGGACCATAAGAAAGGCTGAGCGCAAAAGAATTGAGGTCTTTGAACTATGGTGCTGGAGAAGACTCCTGCGAGTCCCTTGGACTGCAAGGCATTCAAACCGGTCAGTCCTATAAGAGATCAACCCCGACTGCTCTTTAGAAGGCCAGATCCTGAAGTTGAAACTCAAATACTTTGGCCACCTAATGAGAAGGAAGGACTCACTGGGGAAGGGCCTAATGCTGGGAAAGATTGAGGGCAATAGAAGAAGGGGACGACAGAGAATGAGATGGCTGGATGGAGTCACTGAAGCAGTAGGTGTGAACTTAAATGGACTCCGGAAGATGGTAGATGACAGGAAGACCTGGAGGAACGTTGTCCATGGGGTCGCGATGGGTCGGACACGACTTCGCAATTAACAACAACAACAACTAATCACTGCAGTCTCAAAAGTTGCAATTATTTACCCAACTGCTTATTTGATGTTAAATGTGATTTAGGCTTTAGTAGGCTAGTAGAGATTTGGGCTGTGAGTTTTAATACTCAGAAATGAAGGAATTAAGTAACGTTTGACAATTAAATGGGATAATCCAATTAAATGGTTATGTAAAATTATTTGTCTTCCAACCTGTGTTAACAAAATAACTTCCCTGGCAATAATATTAGTTCCAGGTAAACCCTAAGTTTATGACGTACAGATACAGCTGGGAATAGTTTCTTGATTGGGGTATTGCTTACTTTGATCCCTTGGTCTGAAGTTGACCTTGGAGTTAATCTATGCTGATCTGAGTGCTGATTACTGGTGGAGGTGCTGGAATCAAGTAAGCAATACCCCAATCAAGAAACTGCCAACAAGCCATTAGTAAACAGCCCAACCAAAGAATTCCCCAAGACTGCCCCCACCCACCCAGAGAGGCAAGACGCCAGAATATAAACTGACAACAAACAGCTCTTACTAGCACTGATGATATTACCTAGTTAGGGTAATGAAACGTCTGCAAGAAAACAAGCTCAGAGCACCAAGGAGGTACAAATATTGATTATTCCATATGAGCCTGCCCAATTTTAATATCCTTGAGGAAAGTCCTCCTTTGAAACGACAGCTACCAGAAGCCCATTTCTGGGGAACTGAATAGCTTGGAGCCTCTGGAACTACTGGGCTACTTTCAGATATTCTTTTGTCAGAGACAAGAATATTTTTATTCAAACAACTTTTGGCATATAAGCCAACTTATATTACCAAAGACATCTGAAATGTGAAAGTGCCATTCATTTCTCATTGAAGTATCTTAAATTTTACTTTCAATTAATTTGTAATACTAATTTTGCTTTTAATTAATTTATAAGTGGGGGCTTTTTTTATATTTTATAAATCTACTTTTATTTGTTTTTTACTCTTCCTGGCTACCCTGAGTGCTATTTTCTACAAAAGCAGTGAAATGTAAATGAAAGAAACAATGCTGATCTACCAACAGCTACTCTTTGCAATTCATCTTAATGATAAAGTGATTTTAGGATGAAATTCGGAGGCAAGCATAATCGTGAAAAAATATTTGGAGTGGGGCTAAAATGTTTGAAAGTGTCAGGAAATGAAGGAAGGTATTTAAATCCAGGCAGAACATGTTTTCATTTAAAATGACAGCATTGCGAATAGCCTAAACAAATCTGTTTGCATTTTACCACTGGTTGAATATGTGAAATTCAATATACCTTTTCAATGTCTTTAATTTTTCCCCTTTGTTATTAGCGTCATGAGGTTGGATTCTTATTTAAGTTAACAGAAATCCAAACTCTGGGTCTGTCGATGTCAGGATGAGAAGAGGAATGCCTTTTTCATGATTAGCTTCTCCAGCTAGCCAGTAGGTGGGTGTGTTTCACAGAGGAAAGCAGTAAGCCTCCTTCTCTCACTAATTAGCTCAGCCAACAACAAAGATAAGTGAGCCAGGGAGGGAGACCCCCTGAAGGGTCTTTTGAATCTGGCCAATGTCTGATTGGCAGATGTTGAAAGGGATTCGTTGGTAATCCAGTTCATCAATGAGCTGCATAAATTCAAGACAGGACTGGAAGAATTCCGGCATGTGGGCACTTTGTGGGGGCAGTCTGGAAAAAAGCAGCTCAAGATGGACAGAACTTTGGAATCTCTACAGCACATCATTTCTCAAGTCTTGCCTCACAGAGATCCTACGCTAGCATTTAAAGACTGTAAGTACCGAGGTTTCTGCACTACTGAGAGAAATTGCTGAAATCTGTAGGACAGAGACATTGCAAAGGTCTGTTTGCAATATCTTATGTACAGATTCAATATTGAGAAAGATTAAGAGACTATGTATGGTATTTTACTTTCTATCACTAGCGTATTTGACTTTATATTAATTTACTGTTTTTAAAATAAGCCTCTTAGAATTCAACAAAAAAAAATCAACTGCTGTATGGTTTATTATATTGGGAAATACCTTTGTCTCTAGGTAGTTTTAATGTGTCTTATAAAAGGCTTATTGCAGAATATTAAGACTTCTATTTACATTGTGATCTTTATATGATATCATATGTAGTTTTGTGTCTGGGTGTTATTTTAATACATTTAATACAATTCAGAATCTCAGTAAAATATGATTTTTTGTGATTAGTGTATGTATTCATGCAGACACAATTACTGCATGGAGCTTTTAGTTTCACTGTAGGAAATTCTAAATTGGTGTTAGTATTTGTGCTGTGTTTATTTTTCCTATTAAAGTTTATACTATAATAAATTTAGCTCTAAAAATGCTAGATATCGGTATCTAAAGGCTCTCTTTCTTCTATGTAATCTGAGCTTGCTGGTTTTGAATCATGCTTCTAAATATTCAAAGATGAACTCCTTTTTTTAAAGACTAGGTATTTTACATCTGAAAGAGGATCGGGATCCTGGAATCCTAAGCTCAGAAAAGTAAAATTCCTGAACACTACAGAAAATCAGTTTTGTGCAGTTTGCGAAAAATTCCCTAGGCTTATTTAAGAATGTTCCATCACCTTCTTTGACATCACTTTTTGTTTAGTGTGAGTGTGAGGTGGAGAGACAATGGAGAGAGAAAGCACGAGGAACAGTCAGTTATCCTAAGTTTTCACTTTTTTTTTCCAGAATAACATTTTTAAAAGTAGCTAATCTTGAAATATGTTACCAAACATTCAGGCTGTGCTTAATTCTTATGTTAAATGACACTGCACAGAATGATTCTTTCTAAACTGAATGGAATTAGTGCTTGAAATAAGCAGCTGGCAAAGAACAGTTATGTATTTGTTACTGCATACATAGTTTGTCAGAAATCAACAGTTATATAAACAAACATGGACAGAACTTCCTTAGCCCACCCAGAAGAAAAGCTCCCTCCTGTTGCAACCATCCTACGTTAGACTGAGGTTTTTTTTTTTTTTACTCTGAAACCTTGTAGGAGCAGATGCATCTTACAAAGCAAGACGCATTTGGTGAAGAAAAGATGGGAAGCTTGCTTCTTTGTGGTGAATTCCTGAAAATCATCAGGCAAGGTTTTGATTGAAAGTATATTTACTGGCCTCTCAGATGGTTACTGTGACCACCCACAGATTATAGGGTGAGAAAAAGCACATGTCAAACAAGAAGGGTTTAAAATATCATTTTAATGGAATCTTACCACAAAAGTGGAGCCAATCATCAAAAAAGTACTTTAGTAATCTTCACACTCTTTGATTATGTCGCTACTTTTTATTTGCTGTGTTAATGAACTGACAGCTCTAAATCACTTCTAAAGCAGGAACTATCTTTTAGTAAAGCAGGGGGCTTGAGAAATCTGGTAATAATATTTCAATATAGGTGGCAAGTTTCCTAAACTTGAAAATGAATGTGGAATCCAGTTATAAGTTATAAGTTCTACAGAGTACTGCAGAAGTATTCAGAGTACTACTCTACAGGGAACTGAAAAGTAAGGGGTCCTCATCAAGCTATTTCTTAGTTCTCCAGTTGTCCAGTTGCCAAGTTTTCAGGCATGTTATGTTATGGATCTTTAAAGCGCGCACTTTGGTAATTATATTTACCAATCCATTGGTAATTATATTTACTAAGGGCAGATTTACATTTTGTATCCCACAGTTTTGACAATTGTGATATTTGTAGAATATGTTCCAAATTAACATCCAGTCCTGATACTCACTTCCCTCAAAAATCAAGGTCTTCTTTGCTGCTGTCTTCATGAATTTTTCAGAAAATTTTGGGTTATCTATATTGTCACCAGTGGAAGAATTTGCTAGTTATATTATCAAAGAAAATCAAGATGGGAAAATCAGTTTGGTGAAGATTAGTTTGGTGACAATGTCAGTGGGATTATCTTCCAATTCTTTTATTCTATTAAAAGTTTCTTGTTATAAATATTGGTACTATATAGAGAGACATCTACAGTATGTAGGACAAAAAATATTTCTGCCATTGTTCTGTGTGTAATCCATTTTAGATAATACCTGAATAGGAGTTACAGCTTAGTGTGGTGTATGCATCATTTAAATGTGCAAAAATTGTCTCTTTCAACTTGGCACTTTAGGCATAGTGATCTCAGAATTCATCATCTAACCTGGATGTTGATATGCTAGCTGAAAATTCCAGGAAGTATCCTAATGCAACAGGAGGACAACAAGATGGAAAGACAGCCTATGACTTATGGGAGTGTTGTTAATTTATCTAAAAATACCAGAGCCAAGTTACCAGCCGAGCTCTTCATTCATATTCTAGTATGGCCCTGGACTAGCTTGGCTAATTACTGGTAGTCCTCAACTTATCTGTCACTTAGCAACTGTTCAAAGTTATGATGGATCCCTCCAAAAGGTATTTACAACTGACTTCCAAAGTTTCAATGGCTGCCCCCGCCAGGCATATGACTGCATTTTAGGTGTTCAGCAACACAGCTGTTTGCAGCATCCTATTGTCACATGACCATGATTTAAAATATTTTTTTGATGAAAACTGACATTTGCTTCCAGTTTTTGGCAAAAATGCCCTTAGAGAACAATTGCTTTGCTTAATGACAGTGGACTCACATAACAACCATGATTCACTTAATAATCACTGCAAAAAAGGCAATAAATTCAGGTTGGTCATGTGATGACCCACTTTATGGCCATCACTACTTATGACCATAATGGCCAGTTCCATTATGGTCATAAGTCAAAGACCATCTGTAATCAATCAGCAGCTGTTTCAAATTCAAAATAAATAGAAAGCCATGTGCTTTTTCTCTTCTTAACAGGGACTTTTCATGAATCTGTGTGGATGGTTGGGTTGATGGAAGAAATATATGTTGGTAGGCAGGCAAAGACACCTGTATAGTTGTCAGGGTCCTAAATGTTGCTCACCTATACAGTAGAAGAAAAACATTATGTCTCTTTTTGTTTCCCACACCAGAACAATTTTGAATTCAACCCATTAGGGAAATGTCTATGGAGATTCTCAGTCATCCAGGATATGGTTGTCCCAAAAGTGCTTTTTCAAAAGGCAACAAGACTTCCTTTGTTTTTTCTTGAAGACATTTCATTTTTCATCCAGGAAGCTTCTTCAGTTCTGACTGAATGGTGGCAGATGAAAGGATTTATATTCCTTGCAGTCATCCAGTTGTTAGCACTCTTTTTGAGAGTTGTTGAGGCCACTTGGAGTTTTATCTATTCTCTCAGGGTCACCTATATAGTGCAAACGGGTGTGGAACCTTCTTGGAATTGCTGAAAGAACTATGTTGTAAACAGGAGATAGGTGGTGTAGTATCCCTCCTCCTCTGTTGAGAGAGACCTGTTCAATCTTAATGTAGATGGCCTCTTTGACACCTCTTTCAAACTAGTGGTCCTCTCTGTCTACATTCCTTGCTTCTCTAGGTTGAATCTGCTCACCTCTAGAAATCAGAGAGTTTTCCTGAGTGTATCATCACTGAAAGAATCATACTACTACTTAGGACTCAAGCTTTCTTGATGATAGTGCCCCCGCCTTTGAGGCACCCTACCACCCATTATTCAAATCATCTCATCCTTACCAAGCTTCCAAAGAGTTGTACATATAGTAGTCTAGGAGGACATTTTGGAGTAAATGAAGACCTTAAAGCAGTGATGGCGAACCTTTTAGAGACCGAGTGCCCAAACTGCAATTCAAAACCCACTTGTTTATCACAAAGTGCCAGGGCCGCATCAGCATTGTAGTACCCTCTGGGGGGGGCAGAGAGGTGCCTCTGAGTGGCACCTCTGTCACGCAAAACCCGGGGGTGCAAAAATGGGCCACTGTGCTGCAAGATTCAAAAATGGCTGCCGCCGTGCCGCAGGGTGCAGGTACAAGGCACTGCACCATGCAAGAATGGGGCAGGGCTAGTGAGTATCATGCAGGCACTAGCCCCGCCCCATTTGCAGCGCATATGTGCTCGCGGCCTTGTGTGTGCATGCGCACATGTAAAATGCTTCCTCCTCCCTTTTCTTCCAGTCCACCAATCGACAATGGTTGGTGACCTGTGCTCTACCACCTCTACTCGAGCTTGCTAGTCGGCCACTTCGTCTCCTTTGTGCTGGGTGGGGCTCCTGCTCTGGGCGGCAGTGGCAGCCTGCTGCTGCTGGTGGCGGTGCTGTGCGTGCTAGCAGAGAGGGCTCTGAGTGCTGCCTCTGGCACCCATGCCATAGGTTCGCCACCACTGCCTTAAAGAGAGATGTATTATTTTGTTTTGTTTTGTCATTGATACTATTTACTTGGCCCTATTATTATGAAGAATGCACTTTGCTGGACATGTGCTCTGTGACATCCAACAAAGACTGCAGTCCATTAGATACCACCAGATGGTCGGAGAAAAAGAAAAAGGCCAAACAAAACCTGGTGCCAAACATTTCAGGAAAACCTGAAAAACATCAATCTTAAATGGAAGGATGTGAAGATTGTAGCTGCGCATTGAGACTTTTAGAGTATGCTTGTAGCCCAATGTGCTTAGCACAGGACATAAAAGAAAAATTATTATATTGATCCTATTAATTTTAGTTTGCTGTAAGCCAATGAAAAGCTTTTGGTGATGATTGGCATATGCATAGAAGTAAAATAAACTGTTCTGCTTTTGTTGTTATTCCTGTATCCATATAGCTATTGCAATATGCATTTTTCTCTGCATTTCATTTAATATGTATGTGCAGAGCCCAGAATACTTTTTGCAGCTTCAGTGTGAGGTATTGGTTAAATTATAGCCCCTAATGGGAGGCAGCTGCCAGAAGGTGAACATTAAAGTTATGTATGTTTAAATTATCTAATTTTACTTATTACATGCTGCAGATTGATTGAGGAAATGGAAGGCAATTTTAGTAGCCTTGCATTAAAGAATCTTCCTTTGGAAAAAAAAGAGGGTGAGGGGACCTTGAATATATACTAAACTCCAAAGGACTGTTATTTTTCCTACTCAATAGTCAAACGGTTATTTAATATTAATCTGACAAGTTAAATAAAACAACCTTTCTGTTGAAAAGTCTTTTTACAATTGACTAAGCAGAAAATGTACACTGCTTGTCTTCTTTATAAATGGTTTTACTTGTGACCATGAAAGAGTCTCAGGATTCTGTCTCAATACCAGACACAGCTAGGAAGGCTGCAATAGGCTTCTGCCCTAACATTCCTTCATCAGTTCTAACAATTCATTCCTCAGCTTTGGGTGGTTTCCTTCACTTCTGTGTGGTCTCTTTATTGCAATTTAAACCTGAGACTATTATCTTCTTTGCCTCTTTGATGCTTTACACAGTCAATGTTAAGTCTCTATTAATTTTGCTGATTTCCAAGGGGCCCACTTCCACTTGATTGGTAAGGCCACTGACCTAGGATTAAACTTCCACTGAAAACATGTTTTGCAAGCAATCCTAAACAGAACTATCCCAAAACAAAAGATGTTCTTGGTGGTGTATCATTTTATCAACAAGAACATAAGGGAAAGGAAAGGATAAGTTCCAGGTTACATGCTTGTTAAAAGAAATATTTTTCATTAAAAAATAAATCTTTCCCAAAATGTAGTGGGGGAAAAAAATCAACCAAACAATCATTTTTATATGTTCTCTGCTTTGTAATGAATGGTCAAGAATTTAACATGCTTGTCCTTCAAAATATGAAAGCCTTGTAGTGAAACTGCTTGAAAACAGATAGATAGGTAGCTAGGTAAGTAGATAGGTGAGAAAGAGAGATAAACATATGGAGAGGAAGAGAGGGAGGGAGGGAAGGAGGGAGAAAAAAGAGAAAGAGAGAGATAGAAAAAGAAAGAAAGAAATAAAAAGGAAGAGAAAGAGAAAGAAAGAAAAAAGGAAAGAAAGAAAGAAAGGAAGGAAGGAAGGAAGGAAGGAAGGAAGGAAGGAAGGAAGGAAGGAAGGAAGGAAGGAAGGAAGGAAGGCTATTTTTCTTGGTCTGCAGGATAATTTTGTTTTCCTAATTCACACATCTTGTTCCCCTTCCATATTGCAACTGCAAGCCCAATTTGTATATGGCAGCATAGTGCACAGAAAGAATGTCACAGAGATGAACAAATGTCATGACTGGAGGGCCCACAGAAACAGAGAATCCATGACCAATGCAGTGGTTTCTCTACTGGAAAAGCAGTCATGCTGTAATGGTTCTTCAGCCATTAATATTGACCATTTGATCATTTGTTGTTCTATAAATCGAAGCACATTGATAATTCATGTGTAAGTAGCAATAAACAAATTGTACAAAGCCATGATGAAGTCTGTTTGTCTTTATCTTTCTAAAATAAGTGATGCACCAATTATGGCTTAGAGTTAATGGATAAATTAAGGGCACTATCATGTGTGTATGTATATGTATGTATTATGCATGTCCTAGCCTTGTGAATGCAGTCAAAATAAATAAAATACAATTTGAGATATACAGGTAGTCCTTGATGTACGCTCGCAATTGAGCCCAAAATGTCTCTTGTTAAATGAGACATTTGTTAAGTGAGTTTTGCCCCATTTAGTGACCTTTCCTGCCACAGTTGTTAAGTGAATCACTGTAGTTGATAACTTAGTAACCCGGTTGTTAAGTGAATCTGGCTTCCCCATTGATTTTGTTTGTGAGAAGATGGCAGAAGGTGATTATAACTTTAGGACATAGCAACAATCATAAATATGAACCAGCTGCCAAGCATCTGAATTTTGATTCCATGATCATGGAGATGCTGTAAAAGTCATAACTGTGAAAAATGGTCATAAGTCACATTTTTCAGTGCCTTTGTAACTTTGAATGGTCACTAAACAAATTGTTGTAAGTCGAGGACTACCTCTACTTGATTGTTCGGCAATTTTTGGTCAATTCATCTGACTACAGCTTGTGCATCAGAATGGGTGGAGTATAAATATCTCATTTTCAATTCCATTTCTTTCAACTTTTAAAAGAAAAAGAAATGATATTAAAAATATCAGCCCCAAACTTTTAAGGGCAGTCAGACCAGACAATGCTAGGCTTTAAGAACAAATAGATTAAAATAGTATCTCTTAGTGGTGATCAGAATTCAATTTTGTTAATTTTGTATCAAATCTTAATTCTACTGTCTACTATTATGCAATCGCCTGTTTTTGTTTACTTGGATCTCCTTGCTCTTCTGAAAGGTAGATCAACTCCCCTCCTTTTTAACTCATATTTTACAACAGCCTTTCCCTAATCAGGTACCTTTCTAATTCTTTGGGACAGCAAATCTAGAAAGTTAATCTTACTGGTAGTTCTGGGAGTCTGAATTGCTCCAGGATGAAGAAGGCTTTTTGAAAGAGTTGGAGATTGTCCATTAGATTACCCATAACAGGATTGCAAAACAAAACTACTTCAATATTAGCATTATGGTATTCTTATATAAAGCTCTTCAGTATAGCCAGATTATACACATTTTTGAAGTAGCTATCACTATTTTGATGGATGACATGAGGCAAGAAGAGAATAAGAAGTATATAAAATGCATGGAGTTTCAATAACAATTGAAAATCTATTCCACAACAATGGCATCATATGGGATTCTTCATCAGAAATTGTATTCTGTTACCACTCAGCTATGTACTAAAGATAGCTATCAAACACTCTTGCTTCCATTAAATTTTAAATAGATCTAAAACAGGTGAGGTCAGCTCAAAGCTAGTCTGAAAGCACATTACTTTGTTGTAACAAGGAGATCAATAAGCTAAAAGGAAAAATGTATGCAACTGATACTTTGAAATATCACATTTGAGCTTTGCTTTGAGGTATGCCAGTTGTCTTTACGATTAAGGAAAAGAGAACATGTGGATTTTAACTAAAATTATCCAAACAAGAGGAAACCGTGGAAACCGTCCTTTCAACCCAGAAAATATTGGCTTCCATGAGTTACATTCCATGGACAGGAGAAAGAGATGTAGGAATCTGAATCCTGACTTTGCTATAAATAGATTTTTTATTTATATACAGCAGTTGCTATTATTTCATAATAGCTTCATTAGCTGTTTTACAATAAATCTAATCAGAAGTTCTTGTAGTCTATATATCTTGTTTCCAGTTCATCTTACTAAGAAAAGTAATAATCTCACAGGATATGATCAAGAATATTCTCTCTAAATCTGGAGTGCAAGACATGGAATTCTGTAATAGATTTAAGTTTGTTTGTTTATTCATGATAGGAGCATGTGTAGTGGGGTACCCCAGTGCTTTTCAACATCTATATTAACGATTTGGATGAGGGGATAGATGGGGAACTCATCAAATTTGCAGACGACACCAAGCTGGCAGGAATAGAAGACAGGCTTAAGATAGAGAAGGATCTGGATAGACTTGAACACTGGGCGCTATCTAACAAAATGAAATTCAGTGGTGAAAAAAGCAAGGTTCTACATTTAGGCAAGAAAAAACAAATGCACAGGTATAGTATAGGGGGTACCTTGCTCAATAGTAGTAACTGTGACAGGGACCTCGGAGTCCTAGTGGACAATCACCTAAATATGAGCCAGCAGTGTGCTGCAGCTGCCAAAAAGGCCAACACAGTGCTAGGCTGCATTAACAGAGGGATAGAATCAAGATCACGTGAAGTGTTAATACCACTTTACAATGCCTTGGTAAGGCCACACATGGAATACTGCATCCAGTTTTGGTCACCGCGATGTAAAAAAGATGTTGAGACTCTAGAAAGAGTACAGAGAAGAGCAACAAAGATGATTAGGGGACTGGAGGCTAAAGCATATAAGGAACGGTTGCTGGAATTGGGTATGTCTAGTTTAATGAAGAGAAGGATGAGGGAGGACATGATAGCAGTGTTCCAATATCTCAGGGGCTGCCACAAAGAAGAGGGTGTCAAGCTATTTTCCAAGGCGCCTGAAGACAGGACAAGAAGCAACGGGTGGAAATTAAGCAAGGAGAGAAGCAACCTAGAACTAAGGAAAAACTTCCTGACAGAACAATTAACCAGTGGAACAACCTGCCTCCAAAAGCACTGAATTGCTCCAACACTGGAGATTTTTAAGAAGAGACTGGACAGGCATTTGTCCGAAATGGTATAGGGTTTCCTGCCTGAGCAGGGGATTGGACTAGATGACCTCCAAAGTCCCTTCCAACTTTATTATCATTACTATTACTATTACTATTATTATCACAATTAAAATAAGGCACTATATGACATAAAATTTAAAACATAAAATACAAGATTAAAATGTGTACAAACTAAACAGGTCTTGCTCCAAAACTAGGAACATTAATTGTGTTCTGTCATGCTGCCATGAGGAATGGATTCAAGTAATAGGAAATCAAGACAAATTCCAATTGAGTGTTAGGGATTTATTTTTTCAAAAGTTAGAATAGTTCATCAGTGAAACCAGTTTTCCAGAAAGATGGTAGCCTGCCTTTCCCTGGAGATGTTCAAATACAAGCTGGACAGCTAAACTGGATTCATGCACTGAATAATAGGTTGGCCTCAATGACGTATTCTGCCTCTTCCAATTTCCAAATCTGAAACACTGAAATAATTCAACTCCCAGATTTCCCCAGCCAGTATGGCTGACTGAGAAATTCTGGGGATTGAAGTTCATGCATGCTCAAGTTGTCATGATTGGGAACCCCTGACCTAGACAATTGCTTTCTAGCTACAGGTTGATCAGTTCAGCAGCGGCGTAACTCTTTCTAAATATTTTGCTTTTAGTATAGTGAAAAGACAATTTTTAGGCAATGAATTGTGACTAAAACATTCACTCCTATATTTTGATAGTGAACGTTGTGGCAATGCTTCAGGAATTCTGGGAGAACAAGCAGAAACAGAAAGGTGTATTTTCAAGTGAAGGCACTGTGGTATACGAGTCACTAAACTTGCCTGGGCCTCCATTTGTAAGTTATGTCACCCTACCTGGAGGAAGCTGTTTTGGTAACTTTCAGGTAAGAATGTATACGGTAGTGTATTTAATGACAAAGTATGAAATGTGGAAGAAATCTGGTTTATCATAAACTGAGCTCATCAGAATTATGTCAACATCACAAGAGCCAAAGGCCAATACATTTGAAAGGCAATATGAGAAAAAGATCAAAGACCCAGTGAAACCTATATGGAATTTCCCTCCCATTGGAAGCCCAGACCTTTTCCCCATCTATTCCTCAAGGTTTCCCTATCTTCTGGAACAAATGCTCAGGAGACTTCAGAAGGGTGGAAGAATCAATGACATCATTGTCTCGCCTGTCCATTTTGGTCTGTGGGATTCCTCAACTGGCTTTGAACCTCCTAGGGTTAGAGGATAGTTTCATTTACAAAAAAAAAACATTGATACATCTAACAAAAATAGTAACATGTGGAGGTCAATTGCTAGACAGCTTTTTCAAAGGGAAACATTGGCAGATAACAATCACCAACTGAATCCTTTAAATCCAGATATAATATTTGACTCCCTGTCATATAAAAGGCCAAAAAAGGGGACAGTCTTCACCTTCTTATCCATTTCATGTAGACATCTGATGGGATTTGACTTTTTCAAAAAATTCCTCCTAAAGTACAGTGTACAGTCTTCATATTAACTAGAGTATTAGATTATTGGATCTAATACCTAATATTAGATCAGGTCAAGATCACAAAGCAGTCAAGAGTATGTCACATGTGAATAAAGCAAACATGGAAGCTATTCAAGTATTATAGTTTAAGCTTTCAACTTCAGTCCTTCTATATTCTCTCCCTTCACCCCAATGTCAAGCCACTAGCAGTTCAAATATTATATAATTCTATACTGTTTATTTCCAAATGTAGAATCATATATAAATAGTTATGAGTATGAAATGTTCAAAAAACAGAAATCAGAAAGATGCCTTCCCTTATAAGAATATGTGTCTAAAGGAAATCTGTAGACCACTAATACTCTTGTACCTGTAACCTTTAACTGGGTGAAACCTTGCATCATAGGACAACCATTTTTGAACCAAGGTGCCTCAAATGTGTCCAAAATCTGGGTCCCATGACTCCTATTAAATTGAAAATTGCAAATTTTATAAAACATTTTATACATAAAATTATGTATTTCATGACATTAAAATTATCATAAAACAATTTATGACATAATACAAAATATCATAAAACATTTCCTGCACTGATGTTCGACTGCTATAAGTTCAATACGGGCTGTTTTCAAAACAGGTACATCTCTGAATGTATCCCAATTTTTCCAGTGAAGACAGTCCAGCAATGGGGTAGGTGCGGTTTCACCACGATGCCTCCAGCCTGCAGGCCGGCAGTTTGACACCCCTGACCTAAACTAGTGTCTCCTAAATGCATTACAAAAGAGCTGATGATACACTTTGGATGCTGTTAGTGAAATGGAACATCCATTCTATTTAGCCTTCTTTATCGCAGGTATGATTCATTACTGAGTCTTGAAAGGGTAATTAGACTGATTAGACAAGATAAGCCTTATGTCCTATTAGATGGACACCTCTACTTTTTTTAAATAGATTTTTCAGGAACAAAGTAAAGGGAGAAAAAATCCTAATTGCAAGACCAATTTCCAAAAGATGGAAGCGATAACACTGATTAATGGGTTGGCTTTTAATGCAACCCAATGCATAAGATACCTGTCTCCTTTCCTACCTATGAAACATTCTCAACAATAACAGTATACAGGCAGAACACTCCATTCCACTGACTAGGAATCAGAGAAAGAACTTTCTTTTGGGTGCATGTGAACTATCTTGCCAAGGTTTTTGCAACATCATCTAATCCAGTGATGGTGAACCTTTTAGAGACCGAGTACCCAAACTGCAACCCAAAACCTACTTATTTATTGCCGGGTGCCAGGTGGGCATGGCTGTGGTGGTCATGGCAGATTGGATGGGTGTGGCCAAGGTGAGCATGATCATCTTGACATTGCTCATGGGGAGGGACGCCTGTGGGGGCCGGGCAGGGTAGGGGGAGATCCAGGGGGTCTCTGGCAGGAGGGGCAGTGGGCAGGAGGCTCATCCTGCGGGATGAGGCGAGGCAAGGTAAGGCAAGGCAGCAGTGCCATTGTCATAGGGAAATGTGAGGCAGGGGCTGAGGCGGCTGCTGCCTGACATCATCGGCCCCCGCACAAAGAGGCCAGCGAGCGCATGGGTGCTGGGATGCATCTGGCCACGTGGGACCTGGTTGAAGAGGGACGGTTGCCATCTCTGGGGCATGGTGCGTGTGCCCACAGAGAGGGCTCTGAGTTCTGCCTCTGGCACACTTGCCATAGGTTCGCCACCACTGCTCTAATCCATTGATGTTACCTAATAGGATATGGGATTTCAGCATTAAATTTATCATCTTTTTAAATATTTAGATAAAAGGAAAAAAGCCTATTATAGCATTGCAATGGCTTCACATTAAGACTAGGAAGAATGACATAATTTTATTCTTAATAATCATAGTTAAATTAGCTCATATCTCAGCTAAAGTGCTTTTCCTAATTAAATATCAGTATTGTGTTTAAGGATTTTTTTTAAACAGAATCAATTAAAATATCTCTCATGCACATTTGAACAGTAGCTCTGAAAGGTTTGGGAGTAATGAAATTATCTGCCCTCCATGACTATGTAAAGTCCAAGAAATTCTTATTTTCTTGATGCCTTTTATACCAGGCATTAGCAGAAAAAGCCACCCATGAAAATGGTACTTCATTTTCCACTTACTATACAGGAGGGCAACCAGAGGCCTATCTGATAAGCTTTTGGCTCCCCTTTCACTGAACTCTGATGTCAACCCACTCATTACTCTAGCAGATGGTTTTGCTTTTTCACCAATATGAATGTCACTCACAAAAGTATTTACTTCCGTAAACTGAAGAAATTTAATTTATCTTTAATTTTAAATAGAGTTTAAATTTTCTTTTAACATTTAGGAAATAAAGAATTTTTGTAAAAGCCCTAATTAAAATTCAACTATTACTGACATTAAGCTACAAGTCCCTACACTACATCATTTGTGGGCATATTTACTAGGTATTAAACATGTATCTGCTTTAAGTTCATTCTAGATGTTTATATATATGATGTTATAAACAAAAAGTTTCTACAAGTTGTATCTAGCAGTAATCAGCTAATGAAATCAGGAATCCCACCTCAAAGGTGATTTTATTATTTGATCAATCAACCCAAGAATTATTTCTTTATCAACCTCCATGTTGCCTCAAACACAGTACTAACTCTGGGCAATTTCCTGTTTAGATTAAAACAACTTGAAAGTAATAAAATACAAAATAGTAAATAGTCATATATCAGAGAGAATAACCAAATCAAAATAATCATAACAATTGGAAATAAACTTGTTGTTGTTGTTGTTAATTGCGAAGTCGTGTCCGACCCATGGACAACGTTCCTCCAGGTCTTCCTGTCCTCTACCATCTTCTGGAGTCCATTTAAATTCACACCTACTGCTTCAGTGACTCCATCCAGCCATCTCATTCTCTGTCGTCCCCTTCTTCTATTGCCCTCAATCTTTCCCAGCATTAGGCTCTTCTCCAGTGAATCCTTCCTTCTCATTAGGTGGCCAAAGTACTTGAGTTTCAACTTCAGGATCTGGCCTTCTAAAGAGCAGTCGGGGTTGATCTCTTCTAGGACTGACCGGTTTGAACGCCTTGCAGTCCAAGGGACTCGCAGGAGTCTTCTCCAGCACCATAGTTCAAAGGCCTCAATTCTTTGGCGCTCAGCCTTTCTTATGGTCCAACTTTCACAGCCATACATTGCAACTGGGAAAACCATGGCCTGGACTATACGCACTTTTGTTGGCAGGGTGATGTCTCTGCTTTTTAGAATGCTGTCTAGATTTGCCATAGCTTTCCTCCCCAGGAGCAAGCGTCTTTTAATTTCTTGGCTGCAGTCCCCATCTGAGGTGATCTTGGAGCCCAGAAAATAAAATCTGTCACTACCTCCATTTCTTCCCCATCTATTTGCCAGGAATTGAGAGGGCCGGATGCCATGATTTTGGTTTTCTTAATGTTGAGTTTCAAGCCAACTTTTGCACTCTCCTTCTTCACCCGCATCAAGAGGCTCTTTAGTTCCTCTTCACTTTCTGCCATTAGAGTGGTATCATCTGCATATCTTAGGTTGTTGATATTTCTCCCGGCAATCTTAATTCCAACTTTTGATTCATCTAGCCCTGCCTTTCTCATGATGTGCTCTGCATATAAGTTAAATAGGCAGGGCGACAGTATACAGCCTTGCCGGATTCCTTTTCCAATTTTGAACCAATCAGTGGTTCCGTGTTTGGTTCTCACTGTTGCTTCTTGACCCGCATATAGGTTTCTCAAGAGACAAATGAGATGGTCTGGTACTACCATCTCTTTAAGAACTTGCCATAATTTGTTGTGATCCACACAATCAAAGGCTTTTGCATAGTCAATGAAGCAGAAGTAGGTGTTTTTCTGGAACTCACTAGCTTTCTCCATGATCCAGCGTATGTTGGCAATTTGATCTCTAGTTCCTCTGCCTCTTCGAAATCCTGCCTGTACTTCTGGTAGTTCTCGATCCACATACTGCTGGAGTCTAGCTTGTAGGATTTTAAGCATAACTTTACTAGCATGTGAAATGAGTGCAATGGTGCGATAGTTTGAACATTCTTTGGCATTGCCTTTCTTTGGAATTGGAATATAAACTGACCTTTTCCAATCCTGTGGCCACTGTTGAGTTTTCCAAATTTGCTGGCAAATTGAGTGTAGCACTTTTACTGCATCGTCTTTTAAGATTTTGAATAGCTCAGCTGGAATACTGTCACCTCCACTAGCTTTGTTGTTGCTCAGATTTTCTAAGGCCCATTTCACTTCACATTCTAGGATGTCTGGTTCGAGGTCAGTGACCATCTCATTGTGGTTATCTGGGATGTTAAGCTCATTCTTGTATAGTTCTTCTGTGTAGTTTTGCCATCTCTTCTTAATCTCTTCTGCCTC